TTAACACACAGGTCCAGACTAAAATGTACACTCTGCACCTTTAAATGTTGGCTGGAGAAAGTCTTGTCTGAGTATTTATCATAGTTAGAGGTAAGGAGGTGTTGTGGACAGAGAACAGGAGACTCATCTGTGCTGTGTGTGCTGCAGGTGAGCGGCCCTTCAAGTGTCAGCTGTGCAGCTTCGCCTCCACCACACAGTCTCACCTGACGCGGCACAAGCGTGTGCACACGGGCGAGAAGCCCTACCGCTGCCCCTGGTGCGACTACAGGTACACCTGTCTCACTCTCTCAGCATGCACACCTGTCTCACTCTCTCAGCATGCACACCTGTCTCACTCTCAGCATGCACACCTGTGTCACTCTCTCAGCATGCACACCTGTCTCACTCTCTCAGCATGCACACCTGTCTCACTCTCTCAGCATGCACACCTGTGTCACTCTCAGCATGCACACCTGTCTCACTCTCTCAGCATGCACACCTGTCTCACTCTCTCAGCATGCACACCTGTCTCACTCTCTCAGCATGCACACCTGTCTCACTCTCTCAGCATGCACACCTGTCTCACTCTCTCAGCATGCACACCTGTCTCACTCTCTCAGCATGCACACCTGTCTCACTCTCTCAGCATGCACACCTGTCTCACTCTCTCAGCATGCACACCTGTGTCACTCTCTCAGCATGCACACCTGTCTCACTCTCTCAGCATGCACACCTGTCTCACTCTCTCAGCATGCACACCTGTCTCACTCTCTCAGCATGCACACCTGTGTCACTCTCTCAGCATGCACACCTGTCTCACTCTCTCAGCATGTACACCTGTCTCTCACTCTCAGCATGCACACCTGTCTCTCACTGTCAGCATGCACACCTGTGTCACTCTCTCAGCATGCACACCTGTCTCACTCTCTCAGCATGCACACCTGTCTCACTCTCAGCATGCACACCTGTCTCACACTCAGCATCCACACCTGTCTCTCACTCTCTCAGCATGCACACCTGTCTCACTCTCTCAGCATGCTCACCTGTCTCACTCTCTCAGCATGCACACCTGTCTCACTCTCTCAGCACCCACACCTGTCTCACTCTCAGCATGCACACCTGTCTCACTCTCAGCATTAACACCTATCTCACACTCATCATGTTTCACTGTTTCTACTGGAGCTGTCCCTTTAAAAAGCACCACTAATGCAAATAGCAGTCTTGATGTTTTGCTCCATATGAAAGGAAACACGACATCTGTTTAGCGTTTAGTGAATGTAAATAAACGTGTTGTTGTTTGTATTGTCAGATCGAACTGCGCAGAGAACATCCGTAAGCACATCCTGCACACAGGCAAGCATGAGGGAGTGAAGATGTACAACTGTCCCAAGTGCAGCTACGCCACCAACGGCCCCATGGACTTCAGGAACCACCTGAAGGAGACGCACCCGGACCTGGAGAACCCAGACCTGGCTTACCTGCACGCAGGTGCTCGTCCGCCTCATTCTCTACTCAAACTTCATCAGTGGCTGTTCATAACCGGCACTTATCTAAACGTGCAGCAGGGCTCAACCAAACTGACATCTGTACCTCTTATTTCAAATGTTATTATAAATGAGTTCAAGATTTTTGTAGTCATATTGCGTAGTTGTGCTTGGAGTCGATTGTTTTATTTGTAAAAATAATGCAATGAAACATGACAAATTGTGCCACATAATTTCAGTCCACGCTGTCAATCAAAGAAATGAACACATGCAAAAACAAGAGAGAACCAACAGTATCTGAATAATTGATTATGTTGTAGTCATTGCTTTTCCCTTTTAGTCGGTCACGTTCAACGTGTGTCTGACGTGCCGAATGATTGGGATCACGCTTAGGGAGCCTATCATCTTCAAGTGTTAACAGAACGGGCCAACCCCCAACTGCATTGGCACATCAACTGCTTCGAGTTGCTAGCAGTACACCTTGCCCTGAGCCGCCTCAAGAAGCCACTGTTCAGCAACGTGCTGGACCTTACGGACAACACTGCGACCGTTGCGTACATCAACCATCAAGGTGGTCTACGCTCCCTCGCATGTCGCAACTCGCCCGCCATCTCCTCCTATGTAGTCATCTGAGGTCGTTTCGTGCCACTTATGTCCCCTGCCTGCTCAATCGTGCTGCCGACGAGCTCTCACGACAGCCTGTGGCCCAGGGAGAGTAGAGACTCCATCCCCAGGCGGTCCAGCTGATCTGGGACCACTTCGGGGCCGCACAGATAGATCTGTTTGCCTCTCCAGACTCGTCCCATTGCCAGTTGTTCCATTCCCTGACCAAGGGGACCCTCGGCACGGATGCACTGGCACACAGCTGGCCCCGGGGCCTACGCAAGTATGCGTTTCCCCCAGTGAGCCTTATCGCACAGACACTGTGCAAAGTTAGGGAGGAAGAGGAGCAGATCTTGCTAGTTGCCCCTTATTGGCCCAACCTGGGGACCTGGTTCCCCGAACTGATGCTCCTCTCGGCAGCCCCTCCCTAGCCCATTTCTCTCAGAGAGGACCTCCTCTCTCAGAGATGGGGTACCGTAAGGCACCCACGTCCAGACCTCTGGAAACTCCATGTCTGGCGGAGGTTCTAGGTGATCTACCACAAGCTGCCGTAGACACCATCACTTCTGCGAGAGCACCCTCTACAAGGCATGCTAACACTCTGAAGTGGAACCTGTTTGTTGAATGGTGTTCTTCTCACCAAGAAGAGACCCGAAGATCAATCAGTACTGTGCTTTCCTTTCTGCACGATGGGTTGGAGCGAAGGCTGTCTCCCTCCACCCTCAAAGTGTATGTTGCCTCCATTGCCGCACATCACAATGCAGTTGATGGAAAATCCATGGGGAAGCATGACCTAATCATCAGGTTCCTGAGGGGTGCGAGGAGACTGAATCCACCTCGCCCCCTCTCAATACCCTCTTGGGACTTATCTCTGGTGCTGACGGCACTGCAGAGACCTCCCCTTGAGCCATTGCGGGCAGCCGAGTCAAAAATCCTGTGTATGAAAACAGTTATCCTGCTTGCTTTGGCCTCCATCAAGAGTGAAGGGGACCTGCACGCATTTTCGGTCAACGAATTGTGCTTGGAATTCGAGCCGGCCGACTCTCACATCATCCTGAGATCCCGGCCTGGATATCTGCCCCAGATGGTGAACCTGCAAGTGCTGCCCCCGGAGGAGACAGACCCAGCCCTGGCTTTTCTCTGTCCTGTTCTTGCACTGTGCCTATACGTGGACCTCAGACCGGCTCTTCGTCTGTTACGGAGGCCAGCAGAAGGAAAGGCTATCTCCAAGCAAAAGTTGGCCCACTGGATAGTGGATGCCATCGTCTTGGCGTGCCAATCCCAAGACGCACCATGCCCCCTCAGGTTGTGAGCCCACTCCTCTCTGAGTGTAGCTTCTTCCTGGGCACTGGCACAGGGTGCCTCGCTGACAGATGTCTGTAGAGCTGCGGGCTAGGCGACACCAAACACGTTCGCTAGATTCTATAGCCCTCTTGTCAAGCCGGTAGCTTCCCGTGTGCTCTCTTCTCTTAGAAGCCAGTCAACACCGTAGGCCCTGCTCGAAGTGTCGACTTGCTACACCATTTCCCTCCTATGGTCTGGATACATGCACCATTTCTGCTCCCCGTTAGCTCCCCGTTGAGTTCCCCGTTAGCCGAACCCTGTTAAGTTCCTCCACACCTCTCGGCTGTCGGACGTAGCTGAGCGTCCGAAGCCAGGCCTAGCACTCGTATGCATCAGAGGAACCTGTACTAGGCTGGTTCCCATATGATGTGATCCCTACGGCGATCCCAAATGTGTATTCTTCCACTGTGCGGCTCCCTGAGGTGAGCCTTGTCTTTCCCTTGGCAGAGCCTGCTCTGCCGTCTCTGACCGGTCTGTCTCCCCCCTGCTTAGGCCGGACCCACCTCAGTAACATTCCATATGTTGTGCAGCCCAGAAACGCCCAGTCCATATATGTAACCTCCACATGATATCTTCCTGCTGGGCAGGATGGGGCTTCGGCAGCGTCTCCCTTTCCACCGAAAGGGCATGCTTTCCCAGTGTTATCCAAGTCTGTCTGAGTGGGTCATGCGGAACAGCAGTGGACTTCCCTGGCCTGAGCCCTGTCCCATCTGCACCTCAATAATGTGGGGGGATCAGCAGGCTTTCGCTAGGCACTAGAAGGTGTCAACACTAGGTGGCGGGTTATTTGGGATCCCAATCATTCGGCACGTCCGCCGTACGTCGAACGTAACCGCCTGAAAGGGAACGTATCGGTTACGTGTGTAACTCTCGTTCCCTGAAGGAGAGAACGGAACCGTAGTCCCGTCGCCACCATTGCTGGACCACCGCTGACCCCAGGCTCTGCTCGGCTCCTCAGCTAAAAATCAAATGGTGGGTGCATCCCCTTCCGTATTTATACCCCCGCTGCGGAGTGGAGCACGAGATGCGAATCTCACACGCCAATGTGCATTGGCTGGTTCTGTTAACACTCGTAAGATTTTAGGCTCCCTAAGCGTGATCCCAATCATTCGGCACGTCCAATGCACGTCTCCATTCCCTCCTTCAGGGAACGAGGGTTACATATGTAACCAAGACGGTTTTCACTATTAAAACTCGCAATTACTTTTTTATATTTTTTATTCTGTAGCAGAAATAAGCTTCTATAACCTACAAAATACACTGAGGAAAAAAGAAAATTACACATTTAGTCCAAAAAGATACAAAAAATAAAACATCTTTATAACGTATATTTTGCGACTGAACTTACCAAACATTCAAAGCAATGCCGTGTGCAGGATAAACGCGCTTGTTCATATGATGCCCGCTGAGAACTGTTGTGTAAAGGAGTCAAACACTATTGAAGATCTGCTTTCTGTCCTGTTTAGGCTCACATCTTGTGACATCACGTCCTGTTTTGGGTTTGTTTTGATGTCTTAGGCCCACGTTGGGTTTATATTTCATGAAACATGAAACGGTCCACTTATTGTGTGTGTTTCTGCTCTCTCCTGTGTCTGTGTCAGGAATCGTGTCGAAGTCGTTCGAGTGCCGTCTGAAGGGTCAGGGTGCGTCGTTCGTGCAGGCGGAGGCGGCGTTCGCCCCGGATGAGCCTGAGCTGGGGTCCGAGGCGCTTCAGCAGGTCATCATCATCCAGGGCTACGGCGGGGGAGAGGTGGCCATCGATCAGGCCCTGGAGGAGTCGGCCGCCGCCACGCTACAGACCCTGGCCATGTCCAGCCAGCTGGCGGAGGTGCTGCACCTCACTGAGGACGGGCAGCTGATCGCCTCCCGGGACCAGACCCGATACGTGCTGGTGGAGTCGTCCGGAGAGGCTCGAGGGCAGGAGGAGGCGGAGCGCGGGGTGTGTGAGTCCTCCTCGGCTCTGGACGCGCTGCTCTGCGCTGTGACGGAGATGGGCCAGCAGGGCGGTGCTACAGAGATCACCTCCGATCAGAAGAGCGACGCTCAGACGCCTCTTGCTCAGGTGTACGAGGAGACGCCGGATCAGGTGATGGGCTCGGCCAATCAGCACACGTCTGAGCAGATGCAGGAGGTGCTGCAGTTCGCAGCCAGTCAGCTGATGATGAAGGAGGGGCTTACGCAGGTGATTGTCAACGACGAGGGCACGCACTACATCGTCACTCAGCTGGACGACTCCACGCTGCACGTCGAGGAGCCGTCCGGAGAGGAGACCGTCGTTTACTCCGAAGTGAGTCAGGAGTGAAGTTTCTCTCCATTTGAAGACAGTCACTCAGCTGGACGACTCCACGCTGACCGTCGAGGAGACCGTCGTTTACTCCAATGTGAGTCAGGAGTGAAGTTTCTCTCCAGCTGAAGACAGTCACTCAGGGTCTTTTCCCATCACAACGCTTTGTGGGATTTTTCTTTTTTGATTCTATATGCAACAGGCACATAGCTGTGAAATCTTATTTTATGTGTGCAAATGCAACATATCCTTATACTAAGGCTAATTCAGTTCAATGTGTGTAGATGTTTAGATTACTAATGAAAGCCTTGTTAAAGGGATAGTTCGGCCAAAAATGATATTTAACACATGCATTACTCACCCTCAAGCCGTTCGAGATGCATATGTCAATCTTGTTTCAGACGAACACATTTTCAGTTATTTTAGAAAATGTCTTAGACCCTTCAGTGGATATAATGTGAAGCAATGGGGTCCACCTCCTTCAAGTCCCAAAATGTGCATACATCCTTCACAAAAGTAATCCATCCGGCTCCAGGGGGATAAACGAAGGCCTTCTGAGGGTAATCCGTGCGGTTTTGTCGTAAAAATATACATATTTAAAACTTTATAAATGAAAATATCTGACTTCCGGCAACGATCGACGCGCGTTCACGGGTGATGGAAGTCGGCGTACGAGGTAGGACGTAGCGTAGGAACCGTCGTGACGTAGAACGAAGGCGCCAGAGTGCAGAGCAAAACAAAACTCCACTCAGTTCACCCGTGAACGCACGTCGATCGTTGCCGGAAGTCAGAGGTTTTCATTTATAAAGTTTTAAATATGTATATTTTTACGACAAAACCGCACGGATTACCCTCAGAAGGCCTTCGTTTATACCCCTGGAGCCGGATGGATTACTTTTGTGAAGGATGTATGCACATTTTGGGACTTGAAGGAGGTGGACCCCATTGCTTCACATTATATCCACTGAAGGGTCTAAGACATTTTCTAAAATAACTAAAAATGTGTTCGTCTGAAACAAGATTGACATATGCATCTCGAACGGCTTGAGGGTGAGTAATGGATGTGTTAAATATCATTTTTGGCCGAACTATCCCTTTAACCACCTTCTGTTTTCCTTTACGTATGTTTGATTGTAGTGGTGAAACACCCACTCTGATTCAGGACTGTCATCTCAAGAAACTCCAGACAGCATCAGTAAAGGCCAGGAAATAAAACTGTGGAAAATTAATATTTATAACCTTGATATTTTCTTTGGTACAGGAAGTGTTTGAGTGAAACTCTAAATATACTTCCGTTTACAGGTTTCCTTTTGAGAGATTGATTGCTTGCTTGTGAAGTCCTCTAAATAAAGAACTGAGCAGTTTGTTGGCACATTTGTCTGTTTCAGGTACATGAGCACTGTTAATAAAACATCTCACTTTTTTCAGCACATGTGTGCTTAATGTGACAAAGCTGCAACTCTTATCCCTTTAACTGTCTTCTCAACCAAACGGTTGAGCACATTTTGAGTCACTATATTTTAGGAATACCTAACTTAACTCAAACTGATTGAGCCATCTCTACCATCTGGTTGTGATGGTGGAAAAATCCACTAGATGTCACAGTGTCAATCACAGCACTTGTCACAACACTTCTTCTAACATGGATGTCAGAAACAAATAAATCACCCCAGCCATGTGAACTGTTTTTGGTGAAATTTTGCAAGCTAAGCATATTTTTTTTTACATATTACACTGTAAGAGCCCTAACTTTACAAAATGATGTTACTTGGTGCCATGAAAAACTTAAGTATCTTTTTAATAATTTTTCAAAAACATGCTCAACCAAAGGAATATGAGTCATATTAGTTTGCTAAATTTGTTTAGGCAAGGCAAGGCAAGTTTATTTATGTAGCACATTTCATACACAATGGCAATTCAAAGTGCTTTACATAGAAGAAATTAAAATAATCAAAACAAATAAGAATAATTAAAACAGTTTAGAATAAAAAATCAAATAAAGTAGTACTGGTCCACCCCTATCTGAGATGGAAGAGATTGAGCCGGTTTACGGTGCCACTGGACCTCTAGCCCAGGGACGTACTCTGCTGGGGTGGTGCTACACCAGTAATGCCCAGCGGGGCCCCCACAGAGCACGCTTCGTGTGCGCTGTCTGCTGCCGTTACCCTTAACGACGCTCTCAGTCTCAGCGACTTCTTATACAGCAGTATAACTTACTCCTTCACTCGCCTCATCGGAGTGAAGACTCTCCCGCTCTCCTTCAAAATCTCTTCCAGAGATTATAAAAATAAGTAAATAAATAAATTAGAAATTAGAAAACAAACAAAGACAAAACCAGTACAGTAAAAACAGTCGGACGGACAGTGGCACAGTGCTCATTCAGTAAATGCATAGCTAAACAGATGTGTTTTGAGTCTGGATTTGAAAGTGACTACTGTAGGAGCACATCTGATCTCCTCTGGAAGCTGGTTCCAGCTGTGGCTGGCATAATAGCTAAAAGCAGACTCTCCTTGCTTAGAGTGAACCCTTGGTATTTCTAGCTGATGTGATCCTAATGATCTGAGTGATCTGTTAGGTTTATATTCAGTGAGCATATCTGCAATATATTGAGGTCCTAGCCCATTGAATGATTTATATACCAGTAATAATACTTTAAAATCAATCCTAAATGTAACTGGGAGCCAGTGTAAAGACCTGAGGACTGGTGTGATATGTTCATATTTTCTGGTTCTGCTCAGGATCCTGGCAGCAGCGTTCTGTATGAGCTGCAACTGTCTTATGGTGTTTTTGGGAAGGCCAGTGAGGAGTCCATTACAATAATCCACCCTGCTGGTGATGAAAGCATGCACAAGTTTCTCTAAGTCTTGATTGGAAACAAAGCATCTAATTCTTGCAATATTTTTCAGATGATAGTATGCTGATCTAGTTATTGCTTTGACATGACTACTGAAACTAAGGTCTGACTCTAGAGACACACCAAGATTCCTGACTTGATTTTTAGTTGTTAGACCCCTAGCGTCAAGGTATGCATTCACCTTGAGAACTTCATCTTTGTTTCCAAACGCAATAACTTCAGTTTTGCCTTTGTTTAACTGAAGAAAGTTTTGGCACATCCAACTGTTGACTTCATCAATGCATTGGCACAGGGAGTCAATGGGGCTGTAGTCGTTAGGCGATAGGGCTAAGTAGAGCTGTGTGTGTGTGTGTGTGTAAGTAGAGCTGTGTGTCGTCTGCATAGCTGTGGTAAGCAATTTTGTTCTTTCTCATTATTTGGCTCATTGGGAGCATATACAGGTTGAACAGGAGTGGCGCAAGAATTGAGCCTTGAGGGACTCCGCAAGTCATGGATGTCCACTCAGACTTATGGTCTCCTATACTCACATAATAACCTCTGCCTCCTAAGTATGACCTGAACCATTTTAGGACTATCCCAGAAACCCCCACCCAGTTGTCCAGCCTGTCAAGAAGTATGTCGTGATCAACAGTGTCAAATGCAGCACTGAGGTCGAGTAGTACCAGCACTGATAATTTGCCTGTATCAGTATTTAAGCGAATATCGTTTATTATCTTTATGAGAGCTGTCTCTGTGCTGTGAAGCGATCGGAAACCAGATTGAAAATTGTCAAAGTATCCATTTGAGCTTAAGAATTTGTTCAGCTGATTGAAGACAACTTTTTCAATGATCTTGCCTATGAAAGGAAGATTTGAGATCGGTCTATAGTTGCTCAAGATGGTCTTATCCAGATTGCTCTTTTTCAGGAGGGGCTTGACAACTGCAGTTTTCAGGGAGTTTGGAAAACTCCCAGAGAGAAGTGAGGCATTTACCACTTCTAGGAGATCTGCTTCTAAGCTGTTTAACACACTTTTGAAAAAAGATGTGGGAAGTGCGTCAAGGGCGCAGGTTGATGTTTTAAGGTGCTGTACGGTTTCTTCCAAAATTGTGCCTTCAATTTCTTCGAAAACAGACAAAGTAACTACTTTCTCAGGTTGTGGTCTGATCTGTCTGACCCCAGCGCAACTCAAGGATGAGCTGATCACCTTTCTGATATTATTGATTTTCTCAGAGAAGAAAGAAGCAAACTCACTGCACTTGCTGTCTGAGAGCATTTCACTGGGAATCTGGCTTGGGGGGTTTGTCAGTCTCTCTATAGTAGCAAAAAGTGTGCGTGTGTTGTTTAAGTTTCTGTTTATAATATTCGAGAAGAAGGTCTGTCTAGCTTTGCCTAGTTCAATATTAAAAGCATGGATGCTGTCTTTGTAGATGTTATAATGGACTACAAGTTTTGTCTTCCGCCACATGCGCTCTGCTCTTCTGCATTGTCTTTTCATATTTTGCACAGCTGTTGAGTTTCTCCAAGGTGCTTTTTGTCTACCACTATTCTTCCTGACTTTCACAGGAGCAATATCATCAATTGCACTTTTAACTTTTGAGTTAAAAGAATCAAGGAGAAAATCAACAGAGTCAGCAGCAGATATGCTTGGTTTTAAAGATATGGCCTTCATAAATAGCACACTAGTGTTCTCATTTAAGCATCTCTTCTTGACAGACACAGATCCAGCTTCAGTGGCAGGAGAGATCAATATATCAAAGAAAATACAGAAATGATCAGACAGTGCTACATCCTTAATAACAATCGATGAGATGTTTAAACCCTTACTGATAAGTAAATCTAGAGTGTGTCCATGATTGTGTGTGGGACCATGTACATGCTGAGTCAGATCAAACGTTTTTAAAACAGTTTTGATTTCTTTTGCCATATTGTTTTCTGCATTATCTATGTGAATGTTAAAATCTCCAGCAATGGCAAAACAGTCAAACTCTGAGGAAATTGTTGATAGCAGTTCTGTAAAGTCCTCAGCAAAGGCTGGAGAGTATTTTGGAGGCCTGTAAATAATGATAAGTAAAATACGTGGAGCACCTTTTAACACAATACCCAGATATTCAAAAGACGGGTAATTCCCAAATGATATTTGCTTACATTGATAGACATCTTTAAAAAGAACAGCTACTCCCCCTCCTCTCTTACCCGCTCTGCAGACACTCATAAAAGTAAAGTTAGGAGGGGATGTTTCATTGAGGACTGTTCCACTGCAGCTGTCTTCTAACCAAGTTTCATTTAGAAACATGAAGTCCAGGTTGTATGTGGTTATTAAATCGTTGACTAGAAGTGATTTATTTTTAAGTGAGCGGATGTTTAAAAGTGCTAACTTAACAGTCTTACTTTTTGTCCCCACAGCAATCTTAGTTTGGTGCGTAATAGGCACCAGATTAGATGGGTTTGCTGTACGGCTTTTGAAGGCCTTAGATTTTCTATCATGTAATTGAACGGCAATAGAGAAAGATTCAGGCACTCTGGGTTCCCGCTTGTTTTGTAAACATTTAAGAAAGTTACTGTTTTCATAGCGGGGACCCGACACATATCACTGAGAGCTGGTATCAGTTGTTTTTGGTTCACCGCGAGCCGCTGGAGGAGGGTGTGAGCCCTGGCGCTGTGGCAGAGGCCGAAGAGCTCTCACAGGAGGAGGAGGAGGGGGAGGGCGAGCTGGGCCCGCAGGCTTTGGTGGTTGTGGGGCCTGCCGTTTTTTGGTTGACATCTGGGGACTTGCAGCAAAAGAGTGCGATAGTTTGGTTCCAGCATACACCAGTTGTTTCATTTTCTCTGAGAAGCACAGAAGTGGAGATGCTGGAGAGAGGGATAACGTGTCTGGGGAGAGGGGCTGTGGCTGTAATATGCTGTCCTGGTTTCCCTCGCTGTTTTCCAGAAAAGTGTCCTTGGGGGCTGAATCTTGGAGCAGTTCTGATATGTCCCGGTCTGTCTGTGGAGAGCTCTGTGGGCGGGGCTCAGCTGAGATTGTGTCCGTGAGCAGAAGTTGTTGTGGCTGCATGGTGTTATCGTTGTCCTTGTGTGATATGTCAACCACATGTCCATTCAGGTGCTGAAGTGAAGTCCTGTGGTCATTCATACTGTGTCCAGGTGTGTGTGTGCCATTCAGGTTGAGTGGATTGGCACACACTGCAGAAGGATGATTGAGAGAGAAGTAGATGTTGTCCTTTAGCACTCTTGAACCAAGTTTGTTTGGGTGGAGCCCATCCTGTTGAAACAGTTGCCTCTGACTCCAGAAAAGATTGAAGTTGTCAATGAAGTTCACTCCTTTTATATTGCAGGTTTTTTGCAGCCATGTGTTGAGCCCAAGCAGCCGTGAAAACCTGTTTGTTCCTCTTGCTGGGAGTGGTCCACTGATGAATGGCTGAACTTTCAGTCTTTTAAGTGTTTCAAAAAGTTCATTGAAATCCTTCTTAAGGAGCTCTGACTGCTCTTTATGAATATCATTCTTCCCCACATGAATGATGAGTCGATTTGCAGTCTTATGTTTCATCAGAATGTTCTGAAGTTCCCTATTTACATCAGAAGTCGTTGCTTGTGGAAGGCAGCACGTAGTTGTATCCCTGCTAATAATGTTTCTGATTATGGAGTCACCCACTATCAGAGTCCTGGGCTGGGCTGCGCTCTGAGCTGAGTGCCGCTGTCTGCTCGACCTTGAGCGCCAGTTAGCATTAGTGTTAGCTACTGGCTGGTTCAGTCTGTGTTCGATCACATTCATCACATTCAGGGATTCCTCATTCATTAATACTTCAAATCTGTTCTCAAGATGTATAGGCGGTGGTGGGAGACCAGTGTTTGCAATCCTTGTCAGAGCCGTATCTGGGGTAGAGGAGGCTACTGCAGCAATATGTGATGCTCGTGACAATCTGATGTCTCGAGTGCCTTTGGGTCTCGCTCCCTGTTTGTGCCATCGATTTGTAAGTCGATCGGCTTGTTTCTCTACACTCAGTATGGCCTGTCGAGGAGGACTAGATTCATGGGACTCACCGGCTGTATGCTGAGGGCGTCCATGACGAAGCTCTGTTGTGTGTTCCGTCTGGTTTGGTGGTCCCACAAGTAACTTTGTTTCAAGAACTGCAATCCTTTGTGAAAGTCTCTGGCAGTTAGTGCAGCAAGTAGATTCCAGAAGAGGCATTTTCTCTTATCCTTTTGCAGTTGTGTTTTCCCTTCCCCGGAATGTAAGCTTTCGGTGGGAGGCTGGTCGGAGAAAAGAATTCTGCTTTTTCGTAGTAATCAAGCGTTTGAGCACTGTGCTGATTTGTTGAAGTTAAAATTAGGTGATAAAAGGAGATAAAATCTAAAAATATAGAAGCAATAGAGCGATTAAAAAATATAAAAGCGATAGAGCAAAGCGCGGAGCAGTAAGCAAGAGCGTCCGAACAGTAGCTGAACAGTAAGTTTAGCAAGTATATTTTCCTTTCAGTTATTTTCATACTTAATTAAGCCTGCTAAAATGTATTGTATGAGCTTCTGTTACTTTCACTGTTCATTCTATCATGTTTTATCTTTCATTTAATAGGATTGGGACTGAGGATTAGGTCAGTGGTTCAAATAGATATCAATGAAATATCCCAATTCTCTATTCCAATTTTGATATTACAGTAAAAACTACTAACCTTAATGTAAATTTAACATGATTAAAGACAAGCAAGCAGTAAATAATAAAATAAGTGACGAATAGTCCAATTACAAATAGCACAAATAAATAAAATAGAACAAAAAAAGGTTACAAAAGAAATAAACAATGTTTTTAGGTAGGTCTAAAAGTAGTTTTCAGGTACATCATTTGAATAAAGTAATCATATTAATATACTGCATATTTATCACTATGAATTAAATATAGATGCATCTTTATAAAGTTACAAAAGTCAATAGCAGTGAGTGATTACTTTCTTTTGTAGCTTGATTGACAGTGAAACAGCAGTGTGTTTATTAGGCTGCTGTCACTTTAAGGCTGAACGCACGGATCTAATGTACTGTACAGGTACACCAGAGATGTGAACCTGCGGTCACTCCCTCTCCGCAGTACAAACTCCCTCTCCGCAGCGGTCGCTCTTCTTTTTTGACTGCCAATGTAATATAACAAAAAGTTTAGCATTATAAATTAACTTAACTAAATGCGTCATCACAGTCTGTGAAAAGGGCCCATTGCCTTGTTGCTATTGTTTTTTTTCTTTATTAGTAAAAGCTTTAAAATGACATAAAGATTAGAATAGGGTACTTTAAACTCAAATCAATATTTCCTTTCCACATATTTATTGATTTGCTTCTAATCCCCTTGTGTGAGTTTGTTCTGCAATAATGACATACTGACTGTATTAACCAATATTAAACCCCACAGGCTGCTGAAAAACAACAGAAACCCTCATAGAGTTTGGAATGGGTATTATGGGGATTTTACTGGTTTTAATGGTAACTCTAATGCTCCCTGTGGATCTCTACTGGTATGTTTCCTTCTGTTGGCAAGTTAAAACCTGAATGTAATATGGCCTGAAACTGCTGGACACGGTTTACCACAAAACCAGCAATCATATGAGTCCAAATATCAAAACTCAACACGTCACTCCCATACCCAACAAACATATTTCACAGTCACTGTTATGCATTATACACAATTTCAATTTAAAAATCACTAGTAGCCTAAAAATCATTAACTGTCTGCTTTCATCAAGGAGCTCAAAGGCCCCTCCCTCACAAAACTCATAATCTATATAATAAAGACCCTCACCATGGTTCTATAACCATCTTTCTTCCTTTAATAAAAGGAGTTTCATGGACAGCAAGTGTTTCAGGGTCCAGCTCGTGTGGGGTGTGTGTTTGAAGGTGTCGCTGTTACAGATGTGTAGCTTACTTTAATATACTTCACCTTCAAACCAAATGTCCTAGTTTGTAGAAGCACGTCTACTAGGGCAGATTTGAGGACAATATCACACATGAGTGAAGACCTGGTTCTCCTAATGAGCCAGGGGTTTTTGTTGTATTAATTTAATTAAAAAATTAATTAATTAAAAAGTACAATAATATTACAAGAAAAGATAATCAAATAATAACTGTCTGTTAGCGCTGATGACGTGTAATGTTAATAAAATAGGCTACATATCTGTTGACTGGCAGGTAGAACATCATTTTCCTTGTATTTCGGACCGAATATTTTTTAGTACTGAGACTTCCACAGAAGATGTACAATATTTAGATAACTTCTATTATTGATTGCTATCAGGAAATGAAGAGAGTTTGGGGCTATAGGCAACCATTATAACAAACAAGTGTTTCTTAAACTTATTGCCTAACTTTTCCTCGTTTACTTGGAGAGTGTATCTTAATGATTAACTGGCTAATCAATAGCTGTAATCATTAAATAAAACACAAACATGGGACACAATGACAAAATATCGGGCATAAATGAACAGGTATCTTTAATAAAACCGTGGTAATTTTCGTCCGGGATGTTATTGTTAGCTCCGCCTATTCGCCGAAAATCTAACGGCGCCCATGTGGCTCCGCCCCTTTACAGTTCTTTGACATGAAATGTGATTTATACATAAAAAGTCGTTAAAATCTATTTCATGTCATGAAATGTAACCTATTTCCAAGTACGTTCAATGTATTGACTGTTTACAGAAAGAAGCATCCATGTATTGTCCGTTACACACGCCGTGCAGTGTGCGAATCTGTCCGCTAGGTGTCGCAGTTCCTCCAGTGTGATCTCAGACCTGGCGCTTCTGTCTCGGGTCTCGGCTCGCTCAACCCGCCGCCATTTTGAATCCGAATCGCTCACACTACACCCGCTCTAAACTGGAACTATGCCGCGGGGCCGGCCGCGAAAACAGAGGGTTAAAGATGACAGCGAAACCGGTAAAGTCAACCGCAGTCTCACGAATAAAAACCTCACACCATAAACTGTTTGTTTAAGGGCGTAGTGCATGTCTAAAATGGGACAGAAGTTTAGAGAAAGCCATTTGAAGCGCGTGTATATAGTCCCCGGATATAGTATTGCTCTGTGTGTGTGCGTGTGTGTGCGTATGTTGCTGCAGGAGTGATTGCGGCGGAATGATATTAATAACACGCTCGTGTGCTGCAGATTGAGAGAATGCTCCCCTCACACACTTCAGATGTCACTCGCCTGCACTAGAGGAACATGTACTCTTAATTAAAGCGCCTTTTGAGCTGATCCGCATCGATGCTAATGTTAGCTAATGCTTCACTACATCAGTGAGGAGGCTAGAAGTAGTCGAGCTGTCGTGTTAGCTGTGTTTACTGTCTGTTCTGGGGATAATGTACAGATGCTGTGATGATACCTCATGCTGTTGACACTGTGTGTTTTATTGATTTAAAGAATAACCAGATCGGTGTAATGTTTACTTGCTCTCCAGACTTTACTAGCTGAACTAAACCTTCGTAAAAAGAGGAATACAGTTCGCTGGTCAGCCGAATGATTGTTGTTCTGCGTGTAGCGGGTTTAACGTTACTACTGTTAGTAAATAGACACGTATTTAGCCTGTAACTTTAAACAGTTGAGGTAACTAGCAGCTGGCATTGTTGAATATTATATTATATAAAATGTAATATCAGCACAATTTTAACAGCTATGTTAAGATTGAACTAGTTTGACCCACTAGCAGTTAACCAAGGTGTAGGCTAATCAATCTCACTTTTTCGATTCAAATTAGACCAATCTACCTTTTATGTTACTAATGTTATAAAGTTATGACCAATCTTGAAAATAAAATAAATTTAAGACTAGTCTGAACAGTTTATGCAACTGGTCACTGCTAAAGTAACTTTGCAAAACTTTTAATAACATTGATGGAAAAGTCACAAAAATATCTATTAAAGCTGCAGGTGATTTATTAACATTGCAAGTAGGCCTAGTAAATTACTTTGTTTTCAATCATGTGTTAAAAAAAAAGCCTGATGAGGCTTAGCTTAGATGATCTATTTGATTTAAACTCTGATTCACCACAAACATTCACTGATGCTCGGGAAGAGTTTTTTGAACAGGTTAATTGGAGTAAATTGTACTGTTGTCTTCAGTGTTGATAAGCAACCTGTTCTCAACCCCTTTTCAAAGGAGTTTGTTCCAGTTTCCTATAATGTTCAGACAAAAACATTTGTTCTTATACCTATTCCCATTTAAAAAACAAGTCCTCCAGCACATTATTCAAATATCTTATCATGGCATAAATGCACTAAATTAAAATGATTTTATTGTCCTCAAAACTCATAAGACTGTTAATCTCCAACCACATTATTTTCCCTGGCAATCTAAATAAGATAAAATATAGTATATGCATTGATTGTCTATGAATGATGATATTATATAGGACATTTCTGGGAAACACGTGAGTAATGAATTCTGAAGGGCAAATGTATTTGTAAATGTATAAATGTATTTCTCCTGACCATGGCGAAATCTTTTGAGATACCAAAAACCAAGATTGGTAACAATCATATGAATCCACTAGGAGGACGGATTACCCTATATAGATATAAAAATGACTGTCAGCGCGAATGTTGTTTGGCTAGATGAGAACTATTTCATCTATACATGAAATAGTTCTTTATACATTTTAAGGCACCCAAAAGCCACTGAAACCTTGAAACTGAACAAGAGCACACAGATTTCACAGCCTTCTTTACAATAGTGTTCTCGTTATTTTGTTATTTTGGCTGCAAATCTTGCACTTTAATGTATTTTCATAATAAAAGTGATTTCAGCAACCACTGTGTGTTTTTGGACAGTATGCCATTCAGACGGGAGAACTATTCACTTTAGTCAAACTTTGCGCTTTATAATTCTAGAGACTCAGAAAACCAATCAGAACTCAAGGTCCAACCCAAAATACTGCAGTAACCAATCAGACCTCAAGCTCCCGCCCAAAATGCTGTCGTAACCAATCAGACCTCAAGGTCCCCCCCAAAATGTTGTCGTAATCAATCAGACCTCGAGGTCCCGCCCAAAATGTTGCCGTAACCAATCAGACCTCAAGCTCCCGCCCAAAATGCTGCCATAACCAATCAGAACTCAAGCTCCCCCCCCAAAATGTTGTCGTAACCAATCAGACCTCAAGCTCCCGCCCAAAATGTTGTCGTAACCAATCAGAACTCAAGCTCCCACCCAAAATGCTGCCGTAACCAATCAGACCTCAAGCTCCCGCCCAAAATGCTGCCGTAACCAATCAGACCTCAAGCTCCCGCCCAAAATGCTGCCGTAACCAATCAGACATCAAGCTCCCGCCCAAAATGCTGCCGTATCCAATCAGACCTCAAGCTCCCGCCCAAAATGCTGCCGTAACCAATCAGAACTCAAGCTCCCCCCCAAAATGCTGCCATAACCAATCAGACCTCAAGCTCCCGCCCAAAATGCTGTCGTAACCAATCAGACCTCAAGGTCCCGCCCAAAATGTTGTCCTAACCAATCAGACCTCGAGGTCCCGCCCAAAATGTTGCCGTAACCAATCAGAACTCAAGCTCCCACCCAAAATGTTGTCGTATCAAATCAGACCTCAAGCTCCCGCCCAAAATGTTGTCGTAACCAATCAGACCTCAAGCTCCCGCCCAAAATGCTGCCGTAACCAATCAGACCTCAAGCTCCCGCCCAAAATGTTGCCGTAACCAATCAGACCTCAAGCTCCCGCCCAAAATGTTGTCGTAACCAATCAGACCTCAAGCTCCCACCCAAAATGCTGCCGTAACCAATCAGACGTTAAGCTCCCGCCCAAAATGTTGTCGTAACCAATCAGAACTCAAGCTCCCACCCAAAATGTTGTCGTAACCAATCAGACCTCAAGCTCCCACCCAAAATGCTGCCGTAACCAATCAGACCTCAAGCTCCCCCCCAAAATGTTGACGTAACCAATCAGACCTCAAGCTCCCACCCAAAATGTTGTCGTAACCAATCAGAACTCAAGCTCCCGCCCAAAATGCTGCCGTAACCAATCAGAACTCAAGCTCCCCCCCAAAATGCTGCCATAACCAATCAGACCTCAAGCTCCCGCCCAAAATGTTGTCGTAACCAATTAGAACTCAAGCTCCCACCCAAAATGCTGCCGTAACCAATCAGACCTCAAGCTCCCGCCCAAAATGCTGCCGTAACCAATCAGACCTCAAGCTCCCGCCCAAAATGTTGTCGTAACCAATCAGACCTCAAGCTCCCGCCCAAAATGTTGTCGTAACCAATCAGAACTCAAGCTCCCACCCAAAATGTTGTCGTAACCAATCAGACCTCAAGCTCCCGCCCAAAATGTTGTCGTAACCAATCAGAACTCAAGCTCCCACCCAAAATGTTGTCGTAACCAATCAGACCTCAAGCTCCCGCCCAAAATGTTGTCGTAACCAATGAGAACTCAAGCTCCCGCCCAAAATGTTGTCGTAACCAATCAGACCTCAAGCTCCCGCCCAAAATGTTGTCGTAACCAATCAGAACTCAAGCTCCCACCCAAAATGCTGCCGCAACCAATCAGACCTCAAGCTCCCGCCCAAAATGCTGCCGTAACCAATCAGACCTCAAGCTCCCGCCCAAAATGCTGCCATAACAGATCAGACCTCAAGCTCCCGCCCAAAATGTTGTCGTAACCAATCAGAACTCAAGCTCCCGCCCAAAATGTTGTCGTATCCAATCAGACCTCGAACTCCCGCCCAAAATGTTGTCGTAACCAATCAGAACTCAAGCTCCCACCCAAAATGCTGCCGTAACCAATCAGACCTCAAGCTCCCGCCCAAAATGTTGTCGTAACCAATCAGACCTCAAGCTCCCACCCAAAATGTTGTCGTAACCAATCAGACCTCAAGCTCCCACCCAAAATGCTGCCGTAACCAATCAGACCTCAAGCTCCCACCCAAAATGTTGTCGTAACCAATCAGAACTCAAGCTCCCACCCAAAATGTTGTCGTAACCAATCAGAACTCAAGCTCCCGCCCAAAATGTTGTCGTAACCAATCAGACCTCAAGCTCCCACCCAAAATGCTGCCGTAACCAATCAGACCTTAAGCTCCCGCCCAAAATGTTGTCGTAACCAATCAGACCTCAAGCTCCCACCCAAAATGTTGTCGTAACCAATCAGACCTCAAGCTCCCACCCAAAATGCTGCCGTAACCAATCAGACCTCAAGCTCCCCCCAAAATGTTGTCGTAACCAATCAGACCTCAAGCTCCCACCCAAAATGTTGTCGTAACCAATCAGAACTCAAGCTCCCGCCCAAAATGCTGCCGTAACCAATCAGAACTCAAGCTCCCCCCCAAAATGCTGCCGTAACCAATCAGACCTCAAGCTCCCGCCCAAAATGTTGTCGTAACCAATCAGAACTCAAGCTCCCACCCAAAATGCTGCCGTAACCAATCAGACCTCAAGCTCCCGCCCAAAATGCTGCCGTAACCAATCAGACCTCAAGCTCCCGCCCAAAATGTTGTCGTAACCAATCAGACCTCAAGCTCCTGCCCAAAATGTTGTCGTAACCAATCAGAACTCAAGCTCCCACCCAAAATGTTGTCGTAACCAATCAGACCTCAAGCTCCCGCCCAAGATGTTGTCGTAACCAATCAGAACTCAAGCTCCCACCCAAAATGTTGTCGTAACCAATCAGACCTCAAGCTCCCGCCCAAAATGTTTTCGTAACCAATCAGAACTCAAGCTCCCGCCCAAAATGTTGTCGTAACCAATCAGACCTCAAGGTCCCACCCAAAATGTTGTCGTACCCAATCAGACCTCAAGCTCCCACCAAAAATGTTGTCGTAACCAATCAGACGTCAAGCTCCCGCCCAAAATGTTGTCGTAACCAATCAGACGTCAAGCTCCCGCCCAAAATGTTGTCGTAACCAATCAGACCTCAAGCTCCCACCCAAAATGTTGTCGTAACCAATCAGAACTCAAGCTCCCACCCAAAATGCTGCCGTAACCAATCAGACCTCAAGCTCCCACCCAAAATGTTGTTGTAACCAATCAGACCTCAAGCTCCCACCCAAAATGCTGCCGTAACCAATCAGACCTCAAGCTCCCACCCAAAATGTTGTCCGAACCAATCAGAACTCAAGCTCCCGCCCAAAATGTTGTCGTAACCAATCAGAACTCAAGCTCCCACCCAAAATGCTGCCGTAACCAATCAGACCTCAAGCTCCCGCCCAAAATGCTGCCGTAACCAATCAGACCTCAAGCTCCCACCCAAAATGTTGTCGTATCCAATCAGAACTCAAGCTCCCTCCCAAAATACTGCCGTAACCAATCAGAACTCAAGCTCCCACCCAAAATGTTGTCGTGACCAATCAGACCTCAAGCTCCCGGCCAAAATGTTGTCGTAACCAATCAGACCTCAAGCTCCCACCCAAAATGTTGTCGTAACCAATCAGAACTCAAGCTCCCGCCCAAAATATTGTCATAACCAATCAGACCTCAAGCTCCCACCCAAAATGTTATCGTAACCAATCAGAACTCAAGCTCCCGCCCAAAATGCTGCCGTAACCAATCAGAACTCAAGCTCCCGCCCAAAATGTTGTCGTAACCAATCAGACCTCAAGCTCCCGCCCAAAATGTTGTCGTAACCAATCAGAACTCAAGCTCCCGCCCAAAATGCTGCCGTAACCAATCAGAACTCAAGCTCCCACCCAAAATGTTGTCGTAACCAATCAGACCTCAAGCTCCCGCCCAAAATGTTGTCGTAACCAATCAGACCTCAAGCTCCCGCCCAAAATGTTGTCGTAACCAATCAGAACTCAAGCTCCCACCCAAAATGTTGTCGTAACCAATCAGACCTCAAGCTCCCGCCCAAAATGTTGTCGTAACCAATCAGACCTCAAGCTCCCGCCCAAAATGTTGTCGTAACCAATCAGAACTCAAGCTCCCGCCCAAAATGCTGCCGTAACCAATCAGACCTCAAGCTCCCCCCCAAAATGTTGTCGTAACCAATCAGACCTCAAGCTCCCGCCCAAAATGTTGTCGTAACCAATCAGAACTCAAGCTCCCGCCCAAAATGCTACCGTAACCAATCAGAACTCAAGCTCCCGCCCAAAATGCTGCCGTAACCAATCAGAACTCAAGCTCCCGCCCAAAATGCTGCCGTAACCAATCAGAACTCAAGCTCCCAAAATAAATATTAGAAAAAATAAAAGTTTTTTGTTTTCACACCATCATTTGGGTTGAGTACGTAAACTTTTGAATGGGGTCATTTTTATAAATGAAGCTAATATTTTGTGTTGTGGACTGTATAAACATGTGAAAGACCTTATTCAGAGCTTATTCAATAAAAAACAAACAAATTTCATGATGCCTTTTATTTTGGTATTAATTATTAACATTTTTATGAACATTTAGCAGATTCTGCGAGGTGTTTATAAATTGAGGATGATCGATTCGTCTGTCACACACATTAAACTCACACAAACACACATTTACTGACTGAATTTCGTAGTAAAATTGACAATTTAAAATTTGAGACCGTGTTGCATATCAAAAGTATCAAAGAACAAAGATTACTGTGATTATGGGATGGCAGGAGCTACAGATAATTTTTAGTGAAGTTGTGTTCGCGCATCAACAGAAAACAGCGAAATTTACAACATGACATCATGACTTTGCGTAAACATACACGCCACTTTCAAGTCAAGTGGCGTGTTATCTATACGCATTTTGAGCTATCCGCGTGTGTGTCCACGCCGAAATTAACCGTCATCTTTTGCGTGTATGTGTATGCCGTTAAATGTCCGAGTGATTCCGCGTGTATGTCTACGCCGTTAAATGTCCGAGCGAAACGAAGCAAAGTGTAGATCTACATCTGGGGAGCAATATTTTTTTCCCTAGGATGGTAGGAGAAGACTCATAAATGGTATTAACCCCAGTGACGGGTAGGTTTAGGGACGGGGTTGGGGTAGGTCATATATTTATACAGTAATGTAACGTTAAGTCAAGGCGTTGATAAACACGCTGAAAAGCGATTATGCGTGTTGATAGCACGCCAAAAATGGAAATACTAATTGGCGTGTCATACATACGCCATTTCATGAGATCAGTCTGGATGCTTGTAGAGTCCCTCTGTCCTCATTGCTTGTCTTCTGTCTTCTACAGATGGAGGTCCGGGAGCCGGCTCAGAGAGCCAGAAGCAGGCCGAGAACAAATGTAATATTTGCTCACAGAATTATCCCAGCGAGAGTCAACTTCAGAGACACCTGCGAGAGCATGAGGTCAACGATAAGGCAAGAGAGCGCCCTTCATCATCATCATCATCATCATCTCACACCAGATCGGAGACAGGACCATATCACTCTACACATGCAATGGCACACACGGGCTCATAAAGCCAAGCTGTCTGATAATGGCGTGGATGATCAGTAGATCGTTCATAAACACATCAGTCCCCAGACTCCCCACTGATATATTTCTGCTCATTTTCAAACTTCTTCATTTACAGAAACTAGGAGCGGCAACATAATAAAATCATTAGAGTTTTTTATAATTAGTTAAAATAACAAATGTTCTTCTGGGTTTACACTTTAATAGCAATGGATTTACATTACTTTTCTAGTCATTTGTGATTACAGGGTTTAAAAAAATTATATTTTTATTCGCAAATAGCAATTTCTACCTTATGAATATTTTAGAGCTTAACATAATAACTAGGAAAATGTTCGATTCACTATGAAAAGTGACTTTTAGGTCTATAAATCACACTTTTAACATGCCCTCATGTATCTGTGCCCTGGTTCTTAAATAAAGAGTGCAGTTCTGGGAACGAATGATAAATACGCCAGCTGACACCGTGAAGCTGTTTGAGCTGGTTTAAAGCTTTTGAATCATCTCGAGCACTGACTCTCATGCTCACAATGTCTGATACACCAGTTTCTCTTAATTCTCCACAAGGAAAAAAGCTGTAATGTTTGAAAACCCTTAAAGCTGTTTCTTGTGTATGTAAACCTGTCTAATGTTCTCAGCGGATTGATTTCCATTACACGAGAGTAGATGTTAAAACTTCATGCTGATTTGTACTCGGCTTTCGCCAAGATAAGCAAAACTAAGACGTAGCTTTACAGTAAACTATGCTTCTCCATCCATTTACGCTTCTTTCCATATGGTGGTGTGACTCCCCTTCTGTCCGGCGTTAACGGCTGCAGTGTACTTGGCGCGTCAGCACACGCGACGGCTGCAACTACAGGACCAGCACGACAACCGTCTGGATTGAGCCGAGTAGGGGACATCTCTAGGGTCTTCAAGTGGGCACCTTCCGTCCTCAGTGTTTCGTCGACTAGCCCACGACACCTCAAGAGGGCTCGACAGTGACTCTGGCGTCCCAGAGTCACCCCCCTCCGTCCCCCAAAATGCTGCCGTAACCAATCAGAACTCAAGCTCCCACCCAAAATGTTGTCATAACCAATCAGACCTCAAGCTCCCACCCAAAATGCTGCCGTAACCAATCAGAACTCAAGCTCCCACCCAAAATGTTGTCGTAACCAATCAGACCTCAAGCTCCCGCCCAAAATGTTGTCGTAACCAATCAGACCTCAAGCTCCCGCCCAAAATGCTGCCATAACCAATCAGAACTCAAGCTCCCACCCAAAATGTTGTCGTAACCAATCAGACCTCAAGCTCCCGCCCAAAATGTTGTCGTAACCAATCAGAACTCAAGCTCCCGCCCAAAATGTTGTCGTAACCAATCAGACCTCAAGCTCCCGCCCAAAATGTTGTCGTAACCAATCAGAACTCAAGCTCCCGCCCAAAATGCTGCCATAACCAATCAGACCTCAAGCTCCCGCCCAAAATGTTGTCGTAACCAATCAGAACTCAAGCTCCCGCCCAAAATGCTGCCGTAACCAATCAGAACTCAAGCTCCCGCCCAAAATGCTGCCGTAACCAATCAGAACTCAAGCTCCCAAAATAAATATTAGAAAAAATAAAAGTTTTTTGTTTTCACACCATCATTTGGGTTGAGTACGTAAACTTTTGAATGGAGTCATTTTTATAAATGAAGCTAATATTTTGTGTTGTGGACTGTATAAACATGTGAAAGACCTTATTCAGAGCTTATTCAATAAAAAACAAACAAATTTCATGATGCCTTTTATTTTGGTATTAATTATTAACATTTTTATGAACATTTAGCAGATTCTGCGAGGTGTTTATAAATTGAGGATGATCGATTCGTCTGTCACACACATTAAACTCACACAAACACACATTTACTGACTGAATTTCGTAGTAAGTTTCAGTAGCAACAGTTCCGTATGGCGTACCACCTACCGCAAAACACAATATCTGCCCAACCACCCGTCATTCACGCAATATCCACAGGAACGTAAACCAACAGACTCTTTAAGTTTTCAAGAATTCTACGAAACCGTAGCGTGGCGGCCTGTACACAGCCAGCTAGAATCTTTCCGTCTCAACCACAGCCAGTTGCTGCTCCTTTCTGCTGCTTCAGATAAGTTCTTTACTGTGCGACGCAACTGAGGAATCCGATGTCTCTGAGGAACCGGGTTGTAGAGTGTGCCACAAAACCTCGACAACCCACTTCCACTGTGTGTTATTTTGCTTAGTGCGATAATAAGCAAACGAGGCGTGTTTACCAGTTGAACATACTTTACTCGGCAACTTTCACATTACAACATCCAGTGCCACTCTCCTGGCTACATCTGTTTACTTCCGGCCTGGCGCTTCCCCTCACTGAGGCATGCTGGGTAATGGAGTTCTTAACTTAACGTATTCATAACATCACATCTTTCCCCCTGTAAAGAAATAATATTCACCCCTGTAAAAACATACCCATTTTAAGGTGGTGATATATATATATATATTTTTTTTTACTTACAACTTCCCTTTGTAAACAACAGTTTCAATTTAAACACTTTTTTTTTTTTTTACAAACTAGACCCTCTTAACAGTCCATGTTGCTCTTTTGTACAACAAACAACAACAAAAACAAACTTAGGAGACTTTAGCAACTCTCAATCAACCTCTGCGGTGGCTGAATATGTCTCTTAGGTCTAGACTGTCTCAGCAGCTGGCGATTTCGTCAGACTGGAAGGTGTTGCAGCAGCTGGTGGCGCAGGCGCCGCTGCAAGATTACTGTCAGTTAACTCTGTAGATTCAGTCGCGTCCTGCTGAACAGTCTCTTGAGCTGTAGTGTCCTTTTCAGTCGGCTGTAGTTGAAGATCTGTGCGGTTCCTCCTCAGAGACAATCCATTCTCCATCTGGATCCTATCGGAGCGTGGAGCAACTTCCTTCTCCACCTGTCCCTTTTGTCTCCATGTTCCTGTAGAGATGTCCCTGAGACGCACCATGTCTCCAGGCTTCCGCATTGGCAGGTGTTTAGCTGTTCGATCGTACAGCAGTTTTTGTTTCACTTTTTGTTCCTCCTTGACTTTTCTGACTTTGTGTGAGCTTTTGGGTGTAAGCAAATCCTCATTTACTGGTAGGTTAGAGCGAATGCGTCTACCCATCAGCATTTGAGCTGGTGATAGTCCGTTCTGTAGAGGTGCACTCCTATAGATCAGTAGGCTTTTCTGAAAATCATCTCTGTCCTGCGCTTTTTTCATCAAGTTTTTTACTGTTTTCACTGAGCTTTCTGCCAAGCCGTTGGACTTTGGGTAGGTTGGACTCGATGTACAGTGTTGAAACCCCCATTCTTTGGCAAAGGCAGCAAACTCACAGCTGGAAAACTGGGGCCCATTGTCTGAAAACAGTTCACATGGGACACCATGTCTGGCAAAGACAGTCTTGAGGTAACTGATGACTGCCTTGCTTGATATTGACTGCAGCGCTCCGACTTCTGGATAGTTTGAAAAGTAGTCAGTGACCACTATGTAACTCTTTCCATTACAGTCAAATGTGCGACAAAGTTCACATGAAGCTATTGTCTGGCTGATATCTTGGTTGATTCTCGGCCAGTACATTACTTCTCTCGCCCATCGTTTACACTTGACTTCTCCGAGATGGCCTTCGTGTATCTTTTGGAGCATTTGTTTACGTAACGATGATGGAATAACAAACTTGCTCCCCTTCAACACTATGTCATTCACCACAGGAAGCTCGGTTCTGCAGTTCCAGTAGTCTGTTATGTTCATTGGGCAATCCTTTTTGTTTTCAGGCCATCCTTTCTGTATTGCACGCTTGAGTTCTTTCATCGTTTCATCTGCATTTGTCTCTCTCCGTATTTGTTCTGTTCTGTCAGCTGTTACTGGCAGATTTGTCACTACCATGTCCACGTACGCCTGTATTTCTGCAGTGCTCTCGCTGTCCGTACGCTCCCCTTTATCAACTGCTCTAGACAAGGTGTCGGCGGTGTACATGTATTTCCCCTGTGTATATATCATGTGCACATCATATTTTTGCAGCCTAATTAGCATGCGTTGTATCCGCACAGGACAGTCATTCAGAGGTTTGGACATGATGGACACCAGAGGTTTATGGTCTGTTTCTACTTCAAAAGCTTGACCATAGACATATTGGTGAAAGCGTTCACATGCATACATGCTCGCTAATAGCTCCTTTTTAATTTGAGCGTACCTGGACTCAGCGCTTGTCAAGGCTCTAGATGCATAGGCAACAGGTAGCCACTGCTCGTCGTATTGCTGCAGCAGCACCGCTCCCAGGCCGTACTGTGACGCATCTGCCGAGACCCTTGTTCTTCTTTCTGTGTCATAAAACTTTAACACGGGCTCTTGTGTCAGGATCTCTTTAAGTTTTACAAAACATTTCTCCTGCTCATGAGACCAGATCCATTCATTCTTCTGTTCGAGAAGACTCCTGAGAGGTGCTGACTGTGCTGACAGCTGTGGGACAAACTTTGCTAGATAGGTGACCATTCCCAGAAAACGTCTGACCTCATCTTCGTTGTTTGGCCTTTCCATATTGTTGATTGCTGATGTTTTTCTTGGGTCAGGCTTCACTCCCTCTTCACTGACAACATCTCCCACAAAGGTAAGCGTTTTCACTCCAAACTCACATTTGTCTTTGTTAAGCTTCAGATTCACTTCTCTTGTCTTGTCTAGCACTTGTCTCAGTCTCTCGTCATGTTCTTCTCGATTCGAGCCCCAGACTATGATGTCATCCATCATGGTCTCCACTCCTGGTATGTGCTCAAAGATCATGTGTATAGTCTTGTGGTAGACTTCAAGTGCTGACAAGATACCATACGGCAGACGAAGAAACCTGTACCTGCCCTCAGGTGTGTTAAACGTGCACAGTTTCGAACTCTCCTCGT